ACCCTCTCCAAGACAGATCTGTTCTCTTGGCCGCCCATGGGATGTTCAGTGCTCCTCTCCAACATCACGGCTCAAAGACATATTTTTTTTTCTGTCATCCTTATTCATTGTCCAGCTCTCGGATGCATAGCTAGTAATCAGAAAGACTATGGCTTGAATCAGAAGCACCTTAGTCCTCAAACTGACATCATTACTCCTCAATAATTTGGAAAGATCCCTAGCTGCAGATTTTCCCAGTGCAATGTGTCTCTTTATTTCCTGACTGCTGGTACCAAGGGTGTTCATTGTAGATCCAAGCAGGATGAGGCTATCATGACACTGCCTATTGGTCCAGTGGTAAGAATCTTTGTTTTCTTGATACTGAGATGCAGTCCATACTGAAGGCTCATTCCTTGATTTTCTTCAGCAAAGCCTTCAAGTCCTTCTCACTTTCAGCAAGCAAGGTTGTTGTGTCATCTGCATAACACAGGTTGTTGATGAGTCTCCCTCCAATCCTGATGCCACACTCCTCTTCACAGAGTCCAGCTTCTCAGATAATTCGCTCAGAATATAGATACAGGTACGGAGAGAGAATACGACCCTGACACACCCCCTTCTCAAACCACGCAGTGCTCCCCTGCTGCATTCGCACAGCACCGTGCAGCAGCCTTGCACAGTGTAAAAGGTGGTTTCTGATTGCTGCTTCCACAGGTGCTGAAGACAAACCACATAATGCTGCTGTGTGCAGTTGAGTCCCCTGTGACTCACAATAGCCCGAGGACAGTGGTGCTGAAGCCTGCCCGGTCCTGAGCCAGTCTCACTGACTCTGACACACCCACCACCATTACCCCAGTTACTGTGTCAGTCCATATCATCCAAGGTCCCCTTTCCTGTGCTGTCCCTCCACCCTTCCAAACATGATGTCCTTCTCCAAGGACTGGTCCCTCCTGGCAACATGATCCAAGTATATGAAATGGAGCTTGAAAATCCTTGTCTTCAAGGGGAACGTGGTTTCACCCTCTTCGGGACAGACCTGTTAGTTCTCTTGGTGGTCCATGGTATGTTTAATACTCTTCTCCAGCACCACAACTCAAAGGCACTGATGATTCTTCTGTCATCCTTATACACAGTACTAAAACAACAACAAAATGAAACCCCAAAACCCCTCAAACTCACTGTAGTTGAGTTGGTTCTGGGCCTGAACGACCCTTCTCTGAGTTTCAGCAGCTGTAATCCTTAGGGGATGCAAAGCAGCTGGTGGATTTTTTTTAAACCTTCATTGTTATTGCATTTTATTATCAGGATCTTGATAACTCCAGTCTTTGAACATCTGCTAGGCAGCTCTGAGAATGGTTAACATCAGCCCATCATGTACTGCAACATTGTATGCCATATGTATCACTGAGGAGAAGATGAACAAACAAGAAACACTCAGAGGATAGTAAAGCACTTTGTCAGGATGGGCACCCCCTGTCAGGAACTACCTGTAAATACACACCCGGAACTGCTGCGGCCACCTGGACATACACACCCCAAGGCCACTGCTGAGTGGTTCTGGCTCAGGGCGACCTTGTGGGGCAGAGGAGGACGGCTCACAGGGTGTCTGTCCTGGGCTGTGCATCTGGAGGAAAGCAAATTGCTGCGTCTGTCTCCCTCAGAGCAGCTGGTGGGTCTGACCTGATGACATTTCGGATAGCGTCTACAGTCTTAAACCTCTGCACCACCAGGGTGGCACGCTGTGCAAAGAAGGCACAATGCAGAAGACGTCATCGCCGTCCCTGATCACCACGGAGGATAATGAATAATTCATGGTGTAATTGTTGCCAGTGACAGCCCGCTGGTGTCAGGGCGCCCCCCTCTCTCCTGCTTCCTTTCCAGTGTCCCCCCCTTCCTTTCAGACCATAGTTCCCATCTTGAACTGATCCCCAAAGACCTTGAACCTGAGGGTGAACTCTCCTCTGCTAAATGCCATTTGCAGGAGCGCAGGTGGGATCTGGAGAGAATGTATGTGGTACCAGGGGCAGCAGGGGGCAGGATGATGGGGTGGAAGGCACTTTGGAGCCTGGGGCCACCTTGCTGAGCCTGTTCTTTTTTAACAAAGTGGACTTTTGATGGCCAGTGGTCACCCAGGATCTTGATGGACTTCCGCAGCTACCCAACAGCCCAGAATACCCAGCCGGAGGCAGCAGGCTGGCAGCAGACAGGAGGCTAGAGGAGGGATGAGGTGTGGACCCCATCAGCCCTCCCCATTGGCCACAGGGTAGGGGTCCAATGGCGTCCCTGGGGTGGGCCCAGGGGAGCCTGCTGGCATGACACTGCTTTCTCACCCTGCTGTCCCTAAGCCCATGGTGGACAGCGAGGGAAGAGCTGGCTGTGACCGCTGGTTGGACAGAGGCCTGGGGTGGGCAGGTACACGGTTTGAACCAGCTTCCTGACCCAGTGGGCGTGGGCTGGGTCAGCAGCTTGGCTGTCGCAGGTCACTGGCCATGGCGTTTGTCCACGTGTGACATGGCATTTGTTGGTGTGTGGTGTTTGAGTGTAGCTTCCTGCTGTCGCCCATGGGCTTTCTCTCTGTACGGACCCATCCAGTGGGCCTGGGCCGCCTCGGGGGCCGGGGCAGAGGGGCTGCCCAGTGTCAGCACCCAGAGAATGCTGGGTCCCTCGAGGGTGCCTGGCCCCACCACCCACCATCCCACCCTTGCTGGCTGTGCTCACACCTGGAATGGAGCCAGGGTGCCCTTCATCTGAGACCAGGGCATTTGGGACCCCTGGGGCCACAGAGCAATATGGAGATAGTGGTCCCACTCCCAAGTCCTCATTGGCTCCTGGGAGCTCCCCTCCCCCACTACCCCCCACTAGGTCTCAGCCCCTCCCCACAGAGGGAGTACCCTGCCCACCACAGCTCATCTCACCCAATAACTAACCAGCTGCACCTTGGCTGTAAAACGGGACCAAAAGGACAGGTCTGGGACATCGGCTTGGCCCTTGGCTCTCTCTGGGGTCCTCACCCACCTGCATGGTTCAGCCTTCTCTTAGCATTTCAGCTCCTCTCCTGTCCCTCACAAAGTAACTTCACAATGTTCTATCTCAAGGCCTTTGCACATCCCACGGTCACATTCTGGGACACATGGCCCCGTCTTCCAGTCCACCTCCAAGCCTCCGAGCCTCTGACCCCTCATCTGTAGCTGCTTCTGAGTCCCACCCTCCACCTCCACCTCAGCTCCGCTGTCCTGCAGGTGTTTCTGGGTCCCCGTGTGTTGGGTGTGTCTTGTCAGCCTCCTTGCTGGCACACAAACTTCACCAGCACAGGGCTGATGGACAGTGACTGTGGCTCTGGGCGTGTATGTGAAGGTGTTAAAGGACACCCAGTTCTCAGGAGTTGGGGACTCCCGGAAAGGCAGAGACAGAACAGCACTGCTGGCCCTGTCCCCAGCGTTGGGCGGCCAAGGGCTCCACGCCTACACTGCTCTCCTCCGTCCTCTAGTCAAGTGTCCTGTTGTCACAAAGAAATGAGGATGGCAGCGTGGGTGGGGGATGGGCCACTCATTCTGAGAAGTTGCTGGTGGCATTTCCATGGCCTTGTCGCTTGCACTGCACTTGGGAGTTCCTATCTGTAGACATCATGCTTGGAAAGGTGAAGGGTCACAAAAGAAAGATGGGTTGACACAGTGACCACAGCCATGGACTTGAGTGTCAGAAATGATGAGGATGGCACAGGATAGGATGGGGCAGAAGAGGACAGGACAGGACAGGACAGTGCAGGGCAGGACAGCACAGGACAGGACAGGATAGCACAGGACAGACAGGACAGGACAGTGCAGGGCAGGACAGCACAGGACAGGACAGGACAGGACAGTGCAGGACAGGACAGCACAGGACAGGACAGGATAGCACAGGACAGACAGGACAGGACAGCACAGGACAGGACAGTGCAGGGCAGGACAGCGCAGCGTAGGACAGGACAGTGCAGGGCAGGACAGCACAGGACAGGACAGGACAGACAGCACAGCACAGGAGAGGACAGCACAGGACAGGACAGCACATCCCAGCACAGGACAGCACAACACAGCACAGCACAGCACAGCACAGGACAGGACAGGACAGCACAGCACAGGACAGGACAGGACAGCACAGGACAGGACAGGACAGGACAGAACAGCACAGGACAGCACAGGACAGGACAGAACAGGACAGCACAGGACAGGACAGGACAGGACAGCACAGCACAGGACAGGACAGGACAGCACATCCCACCACAGGACAGGACAGCACAGGACAGGACAGGACAGGCCAGCACATCCCACCACAGGACAGGACAGCGTAGGACAGGACAGTGCAGGGCAGGACAGCACAGGACAGACAGCACAGGACAGCACAGGGCAGGACAGCACATCCCACCACAGGACAGGACAGGACAGGACAGCACAGCACAGGACAGCACAGCACAGGACAGCACAGCACAGGACAGCACAGGACAGGACAGGACAGGACAGCACAGGACAGCACAGGACAGCATAGGACAGGACAGGACAGCACAGCACAGGACAGGACAGGACAGGACAGCACATCCCACCACAGGACAGGGCAGCACAGGACAGGACAGCGCAGGACAGGACAGTGCAGGGCAGGACAGCACAGGACAGCACAGGGCAGGACAGCACATCCCACCACAGGACAGGGCAGGACAGCACAGCACAGCACAGGACAGGACAGGACAGGACAGTGCAGGGCAGGACAGCACAGGACAGGACAGCACATCCCAGCACAGCACAGCACAGCACAGGACAGGACAGCACAGCACAGGACAGGACAGGACAGGATAGGACAGCACAGGACAGGACAGGACAGCACAGCACAGGACAGGACAGCACAGGACAGGACAGCACAGGACAGGACGGAGTGTAGCTGTGTGGTTCACGGGGGTCACTGTGAGCCTTGTTAGGCTGTGGCCCCACGAGCCAGCTGACACCCTGTCCACTCTGTCAGCAGGCAGCTCCCGGCGGATCGATGCCAGCCAAAGGATGACCAGTTGTGGCCAGCAGTCCCTGAACGTGCTCGCCGTCCTCTCGCTCCTGTTTTCCGCAGGTCAGTCCCTACCCAGGTGGGGGTTCCTGGGCCTGCCTGCCTTGGCTGCCGCCTCCGCCCCAGCCTGCAAGTCTCTGGATGTGGGCCTGGAACGCAGGCCTCTCTGGACCACTGGGCGGGACTGTCGGCAGCAGGTTCCCCCAGGGTCTCTGGTTCCAAAGGCCTACAGGAGGCCTGCAAGATGGCGACTCTGACAAGTTCTGGGGAGATGCTGACCCGACAGGTCGGGGAGCCTCAGTTTACTGCTTTGTCCAATGAGAACAGCCTCCCTGGGTGATGCAGGTGGGTAAGCACTCTGCCAGCCAGAAGTTGACAGTTCAAATTCACTCCAAAACCCTTCGGGAGGCAGGCTTGGTGGGCTTCTTCTGGAAGGTCATGGTGGTGCAAAGCCCCAGGGGAGTGGTTCTGCTCTGCACACGAGGGGTGTCCACGAGTCAGTATCGACTGGCGCTGAGAACGACTGGGATTAGATGGGGCAAGGCCCCTGCCTGGCACATACTCTAACCTCTGCTCCCCTACCAAGGGGTCCTCTATTTACTGAGAAAGGCACACTGACCCCTTCTTCCTACTGGGGACCTGCCCCCTCCTCAGAGGAAGGTGCTGTAATTGGGGAGGGAGTGCAGGAGGTCACAGCACCCTGGTGCCCCTTCTGCCTGCCTGGGCTTCCTCCCACAGCCCCTGAGCGGCCAGGAGCCACATGAGCTGCCACCAAGTCCCCTCACCGCAGCGACAGCTTTAAGCAAGCAAGACACTTCAGCAAATGAGCGCCTTTGTGGTGGGAGAAATGTCAGCCAGCAGAGCCCCTTTTCAGCAACACAAATTAGACACAGTAATCCCTTTTATGAAGATACTAATTCAGTCAGAGACAGGTGGCTCCAGGGTTTTTCCATTGTTGCACGGGAGTCCCGGGTTACAAACCTCAAGCTGAACTGAACCCTGGTTATGTACCTACCCCTCAAAGCCAGTTACATGAAACATCCCAGTATATACCAAGGTTCCCAGCTTATATACAATGGTTCATAGTAATGCAGAGGTGCTGCTTGGCTGCACACATCAAAACAATGTTACTATTACTGTAGTATTATGTTCAAGATGTTTTAGTGCACCTGGGTGTGTTTCTTTAACATAGAAAGATACATTGTACATCATCTGCTCAGGCCAACACTGGACTGGAACCAGCATCAGCTATGAGAAGGGCGTAACTGCTCTGACATGACCATGAAGCCCATCTGAAGACAGATTGAGGACTAGGGCTCTTTTGTAATCTAGGGTCTGTCTGTATTTGTTCAGCATTTTGCTTCTGTTTACCACCACGGCAGTAAATGCCACGCTAGGTTGGTGGCAGCTGGTGGCAGGAGCTAAACTTAGCCGGAAGGGACATCTTTAAAGAGGTCTGTGCAGATGGTCCAGGCCAGGCCTGCTCTGCCTGACGTAGGGTGACTGAGGCAGGCCTCTGGGATCCCAGGTCTAGGATTGATTTAAAATGAGGTGCTGAGGATATGCTGCCTTGTTGACAAGACAAAGCCATGCACCCACATTCAGGCCCGTTGAGGGTCTTCAACGCCCACCGCCAACCCATAAAGTAAACTCAGCTGCCATCAAGTGGGCGCTGATTCCCAGCGACCCTGTGTGTCAGGGTGGAATGGTTCTCCACGGGGTTTTCAAGGACTGATTTTTTTAAATCGGAAGGAGATTGCCAGGCCTTTCTTATGTGGCACCACTGGGTGTACCAGCGCTGGATCAGTCAAGTGCTTGGCTGCTAACCCAAAGGTTTCTGGTTTAAACCTATCCATCTGCTCTGAGGGAAAAGGGCCTGGTGACCTGTTTCCATAAAGATGAAGGTCTAGGACACCCTATAGGTCACTTCTGCTGAATCACATGGGGCTGACCACATGTTCACATGGGTCCACAACCGTGACAGGTCACACAGGGACAACTACATGACCACATGGGGCTGACCATATGATCACATGAGGCTGGATCATGACAGGTCACATGGGGCTGGCCACGTGATCACATGGGGCTGACCACATGACAGGTCCCATGGGGTCACCATGCACTGGATCAACTCAGTGGCACCCAACATCCACAGTGAACAAGGACTGTTATGGACCCTGGACTTTGGATCCTGGCAGGGTGGTGCTAAAATCCAGCGCCACTAGCCCTTACCAGCTCTGTGGTCTCAGGCAAGTTGCCTTAGGTTCTGAGCCTCGGTTTCTTCAGCTGCAAAGTGAGACACACATCACCCCCCCTCCCACCCCCGCACTTCAGGCGGCCATGCAGGCTAGATGAGACCAGGACTGTGAAGAGGCTCGCTCATAGTTGGTGCTCAATGTATGCTGGGTCCTAGGTGAGAGCCTGCTGTGTGCAAAGCTGATGGGAGGGGATAGGCTGTCCTCCAGAGAGGAGCCCGGGGATGTCTCCAAAGAGGGAGAAGAGGGGAGACTCAAAATGGGTCATGAGGAGACAGGCATCCCCAGAAGGGAAGAGGTGGCAGACAGGGCCCTGGGACAGGTCAGCCCTCCAGGCCCCTGGCCACTCCCTGCTTTCAGGACACAGCAGGGTTCCCCCCAGCTTGTGACACTGTCTTCCAGTCTTGTCCAGGGTCCTGGTCATGCCTTGCTTTCAGGGTTTGGGGACAGCAGGTCCCCACCCCCAGCTCGTGACTCTGTCTTGCAGTCCTGTCGGCGCATTTCCGGGTCTGTGAGCCCTACACGGACCACAAAGGCCGCTACCACTTCGGCTTCCACTGCCCCCGGCTGTCGGACAACAAAACCTTCGTCCTCTGCTGCCACCATAACAACACGGTCTTCAAATACTGCTGCAACGAGACGGAGTTCCAGGCGGTGATGCAGGCCAACCTCACGGCCGGCTCCGAGGGCTACATGCACAAGTGAGTACCAAGGGGGCTCCCCAAAATCCCTCCCGTGTGCTGCAGGGAAGGACGACCTGGAGGGAGCCTGGCGAGGCCTCCAGGAGAGCACAGAGTATCAGTTCTGCCCGCTGGGCTTTAGTGTTCTCATCTGAGAAATGGGTGCAAGCCTCTCAAAGCTGCAGCAGAAGCTAAATGAACTCAGGTGGGTTGGAAGCTTTCAGGCAAAGTGGGGTCTGCTGTACAGTGACTGGATCTTCCACAAACCCTGGGAGCAGAAGGCCTGGCTCTTTCATAACCGTGCGTGAGCTCGGACTCACCTCGCATGACATCTGAGGTTAAGTGTCTTCCAGAAGTCTGTTGTAGGGTAAGGACTATGTCATGATCATGTCAGGTGCGCCGGTACGTACAGGCCAAGCATGTATAAAGAGGCATGTTCTGAATGTAGGCTAAAGTCCACACAGAGGAGAGAAATGTAATGTGCAAATGCCCTCTTTCACCTGGATTCAGATGGTGTCAAAGCTTCTGAATCACCGCTGTAGATTACTGGTCCAAGCACCCTTGGTTGGTGCCATAACCTCCTGATTTGTGTGTTGTGGTCCAGGGTTCTCTAAAGTTACAGTCTTGCCCTCCTTATCTCCCGGGAAGCCTCCTCATGAGAATCTCTGCAAGGATACTCTGTGTTCTTCTGCAAAATGTTGTGTATCAATTTCCTCCTCCTAAAGCGTTGTCATTAGACTAAAATCTTCACATCTGAAGTTTAACCTGCTGGCTTACAACCATTTCTGCCAGCAGACGTTCTCGCCATTATCCAGTCAGCGAGGACTGATTGGCTCAGCTGGTCCAGGGATGAGTGTTCTGCATTCCTTGAGGTGATGAGAGCCGGTGAGACCAGGGCCCAGACAGAGGGGACTATTACGGTGGAGTGAGCATAGGGGTTGCTGGCTCAGTCTATGGGTTTGGACAAGGTTTACTGGAGGCTAGGGGAGGATGAAAGGAGAAGGGGAGTTTTCCAGCAGAGAAGCCAGAGGACACAGATACGATGCAATCAGAGTCAAAACAGCAAGTGTTCCTCCTGTTAGGCTGAGTCACTGTGAACTTGACTTCACTGCTTGACTTCACTTTGGTTTTGAACATCTCTGCACATTTGTCAGAGCCATATGCATTTCCTTTACTATGATCCAGCTCTCCATATGCTTGGCCATATTTCTCTGGAATTTCTGGTGTTCTTATTTCTTGACAAGAACTCTTTATATAGGAGAGACTATTTAGAGTCTCACAGGTTTCTCAATATATCCTTGACATTACAAGGAGTTCTTTTCTTGTGCTTAGTTTTGAATTGTTGTACAGTTGCATTTATCCATTGGGATTTTGCGTCATGGGCAAAAACTCCCCCTACTCAGAGGTTGTTTCAAGATCTCATCATTTCTCCTACTTCTTTTCTGGTTTAGTTTTGTTTCTTTAGATCTTTGATTTACTGGGAGCTCTGATAGCATTGTCTGTTGAGCCTTTTGATCTGTCAGAAGTTAAGTTTGACCCAGGTTTTGAGGTAGGAAGCCAGCGTTGTTCTTCCCAAATTAGTTTCCACGTGTCCTGGCATATTCATCGTCGTGTCAATCTTTATCTCCTTTTGTGAAATGCGAATTTATCAGATACTATAACACACCAAGGGAGCTGGTGGCTCAATGGTGAAGCACTGTATTACTGTAAAAGAGCAGAGGCCACATGAGGACCCCGATGGATGACCTTCACCAACTTCACCCAAGGGAACTGTCCCATCAACAACATCAGCAACACAAAACCCATTCCCATGAGGTCAGACATGTTCCCCGTGAGCCCATAACTCTGCCTGCTCATCTCAACACCAATTGTAACTGCTTTGTTGTGTTGTTATGTGCCATTGAGTCACCTGCAACCTGTAGTGACCCTATGTACAGCTGCTCTGAACCCTGCCCTGTCCTGAGCCAGTCTCACTAACTCTGACACACCAACCCCCATTGCCCCAGTTACTGTATCAATCCACCTCATCCAGGGTCCTCCTCTCCTGAGCTATCCCTCCAGCCTTCTGAGAATGATGTCCTTCTCCAAGGACCAGTTCTTCCTGGCCACGTGTCCAAAGTATGTGAGACGGAGCTTCAAAATCCTAACCTCCAAGGAGAAACTTGGTTTCACCTTCTCCAAGGCAGGCCTATTTGTTTTCTTGGCAATCCATAGTTTGTTCAAGACTCTTCTCCAGCACCATAGCTTGAAGGCATCAATTCTTCTTCTGTCATCCTTAGTCACTGTCTGGCTCTCTGATATGATAGCCCACAGACTGCACAGAACCAGACTGGGGAAGTCAAAAGGCTAGAACCCAGCCTCATAGCAGAATAGTCAGGAGAGCTTCCAAATGTACTCAGAGGAGCTTCAGCCTTGAGCTTCATGGCTTTAGGCCAGTGTTACAAAGTTTCCAGCCCTACGAATTATGGCTCTTCCCTCCCCAGTCCTCCAGCAGACTTGGATAAAGGCCCTTCATGCTGGTTCAGTGGTGTAGCCATCCCAACGTGAGCCGTCTCTCCTGTCAGGTCTCTGGTTCTCTGCTGCTGCGCCCATAGACCCTAGTCTGGCTGGAGCAGGACTCTGTGGTCCTGACGGATGATTACATTCTCTTGTTCCTTCTTTCCTGGGGCTGAGGTTTCTCCAAGTCTACTGCTGGATCAGCTCAATTCCATGGTGAGAATAACCAGTTCCCGTGGGGACAGGCTAGCACACCTTATTCACATATTCCCACCCAACCACGTTAAGGTGTAAGTTCATGGTAGGGATGCTATTTTAAACAATAAACCCCTAGCACCACAGTTGCCAAACCAAAGGCTCGAGATCTGAATCCCACAGCAAAGTGGGCACTGACCTCCAGCGTGACTTCCTGCCTCTGAAAACCCAGTGGAGGGTCAGCTGTGAGTCCTTTCTGACTTGATGGCACACGACAGCCACTACATAACACAGCCAGGTTCAGATCTCTCGGTCACAGTGGCACCAGGAGCTGTAGGCAACTTGACAGCACCTAACAATGACCACATAGCACACTGAAGCAGACTGCTGGAACTTCCTCGTGGGTTTCAATGATCTGCTTATCAACCTCACTGTGTGAACTATTGGAGGTTCTTTTAATATGTTTTAGCACCTATTTGATAAATCCAGCTGGCTCTTTTTCAACTAAATTTTAGATGTAGTGCTTGTTTAGCCCCCTACGCCCACACAAAAAAATCCAGTTAGTATTTTTTAAATGAAGTTGTGTTGAATTTATTGATTAAAGAAAAATGGGGTTTTATTGTTTTGTTTTGGTTTTTTTTTATTAATTCCAGTGAACATTTACAGAGATTTTGGATTTCCATTCATTCATTGTTGCACTTTTCTCTCTGTCCGCCCCACCCCCACCCCCAGTTCGCTCTTCTCCTTGAAAAAGCAAAAGAAAAACTCCTTCATTGAGAAATGGTTTTTTATGAACATTGCATATTGATTACAAGAGAATGTAATCATCCGTCAGGACCACAGAGTCCTGCTCCAGCCAGACTAGGGTCTATGGGCGCAGCAGCAGAGAACCAGAGACCTGACAGGAGAGACGGCTCACATTGTGTCTTTCTATTTTTCATGACATTTAGATTCCATATCTTTGATAGTTATACCTAGGCAATTCTTTTTTGTGTTCCTATTTAATCTTGTTGTCATGTGCCGTCGAGTCGCTTGCGACCCATAGTGACCCTATGTACAATAGCCCTAAACTCTGCTCTGTCCTATGCCAGTTGCACTGTCTCTGACACTCCCATCCTGATTACCCCAGTCACTGAATCAATCCACCTCATAGAGGGTCTTCCCCTCCTGCGCTGTCCCTCCACCCTCCCAAGCATGATGTCCCTCTCCAAGAACCTGTCCCTCCTTACAACATGTCCAAAGTATGTTAGATGGAGCCTTAGAATCCTTGCCTCCAAGGAGCAGCCCAGTTTAACCCTTCCCAGGTTGAATCTGTTTGTCTTCCTAGCAGTCCATGGTACCCTCAATACTCTTCTCCAGCACCACAGCTCAAAGGCATCAAATTCTTCTTCTGTCCTCCTTGGTCATTGTCCAACTCTCTGATGCATAACAAGTAATAGCAAAGACCATGGCCTGTATCAGAAGCACCTTAGTCTCCAAAGAGATACCATTGCTCTTCAGTACTTTGGAGAGGTCCCTAACAGCAGACTTCCCCATGACAATACGTCTTCTAATTTCCTGGCTGCTGGTGCCAAGAGTGTTGACTGTGGAGCGAAGCAAACTGAAGCTGTGAACAATCTCAATCTCTTCACCATTCATCCTGATGCTGTCAATTTAATCTTGTGCCATTGGGGGGATCAAATGCCATAATGGTTACCCACAATGGACAGTGTGTAGTGGAGCTCCCAGTTTAAGTCAGGTTTGGAAGCAGGAGGGGAATCCACTTCCTAAACCGCATGCCTCTGGAAACTCTATGAACTTGGAGAAATGATGATAGTTATAGAAAGGCTTCAGGCCTTTTGTTCACAGGGTCACTATGAGTCATGCTCAACTCTACAGCAATCAAGAACAACAATATAAAAATAAAGAGCCCTCAGAGGTATCAGAGATGAGGAGGATGGCACAGGATGGGACAGGGTCAGTTCTTTTGTTCATAGGATTGCTCAGCTTGGCAACATTTATCAACAACAAGAGTTAAGTGTTGGGCTGTTATTCAAAAGGTCAGCGGTTTGAATCCACTGAATGCCTCATGGTAGAAAGCTAAAACAGGCTCTTCCTCTTCCTAAGATTTACAGCCTCTGAAACCCCATGGAGAGTCACCATACATTGGGATCAATTTGATGGTAATGGTTTATTATTATTATTAAAGATATGAATAGGGTCTTTTCTTCCACTGTTATCTTTTCTATCTCCTGACTGTCTCTACTCAGCCCCTTGCCATGGTGTCTCCTCTAGGTAAACACTTTCTCAGTGGACTTGCTTGCCCTTCTAGTGAGGTCATCTGTAAGCAA